AAAATATGTATCAGGTTGGTCTACATTCTGATATAGCCCCCCTCAGATGATATAGCCTCTTTCAAATTCCTCAAATGTTGGTAATTTGAGATTTTAGAAAGAAAAACAATTTCTTACAAATAATTATAAGTATAGGACCATGCTTCATTATAACTCTTATGTGAAGGTATCCAGTGATTTTAGCTATTACAAGGGTCTTGGTCACATTTTTCTATTGATTTTGCCCTTATTTGGCATCTAGCTTCTGGTAAAAAACTTCTTCGCGGAATTTTTTCAATGTTTCGGAGTAGGGCTCATATAAAAGTTCCTCCTGATTTTACCTATTTCGGGGGTTTTGATAATATTTTCGAATCGATTTGACTTTAAATGTGTGTTTAGGCTACTTTGGGGGTAGAGAACCATCTTACATGGGCCTATTATAAACAGTTAATGTATACTTTTTAATATATATGCTATAGTATTTAAATTTTTAACTCTAAAATTAAAAACCTCTTACTGAAAAATAGGATCAGACGTATTTATTCGTATTTATTTCTATTTAATAGAGTCATCATTTATACTAAAAATTGTATCACTTATGTGAGCCATGCTTTAAAAACTATGCATTAAAGACTAAAACTTCGGGCCGGCAACGCGGACTGGGCCAGCTAGTACTATTATATAAAAGTTAGTAGCAAAGCTGATGTTCTCTCCAGAGTAAACATAGATAGCGACATTCTCAAAAACTTTGATTCCAATGAGAACGGAGAATAAACAAATCTCGATGTCAGACGAAATATACAATATTATAGGCGAAAATCAGAAATATTATAAAGATATCTGTAAAGTACAGGCACACTTTTAGAAGGAGATCACAATATTGCCATTTGGGTATGTGCGTCCATGAGAGACATAAAGAAGGCAAATAAATTTTCATTTCAATGATAGTAAACTTCAGCAATAATCCATCTGACATCAGAACGATAATGGAGATGCTAATTCGTAGAATGCGTAATTAGGGATCGGACGAATTAACCCTGAGTTCAAAAGATAACATATTTAAGAAATTCAAGACTTCAAATGATATTTCTCACATGGTCAAAATGTCAAAGAAAATAAAAATTTGGCTTTATGAAGAACCATATATATAAAGAAAAACAAATGAAGAATTACATTGTTCAACGATTGGTGGACATTTATGTGTCGGAAAAACAATACGAAGTAATACAAAGATTCATATGGAAAAATATGAATACAATCATAAAGCAGTAAAAAAAGCTAATCAAATATACACACTAAATATACAAAGAACAAGTTTAAAAGTATCAGTCGATATTGCCGCCAGAGATATACCCTCAGCCTATGTTCGTTTATATAAATATATTTTGACTAGTGTTAAGGTTATTCAAACGTTTGACCCTCTATTGAGCAGATCCCGAAGGAATGGGCCAATATTGCCCATTTCCTATCGGACCCAAAAATATGATATAAATATTTCGACAGATGTGCCAAGTCTAAATGGAATCGGATGTTAATTTGGCGATTTGTGAGCTTCATGGGTACTCAAAATTTCAATATTTTGTGGGGAGGTACCAGAAAGAGTGGACCGATGTATTCCCCCTTCACACCAGACCATGGGTTAATACAAATATTAGGATGGGTGAAATTTGAAGACAATCGGACTTTTACATCACATTTAATGAGATTGTAATTATTCAAAATTTTGACCATTTGAGGGGGAGGTACTTGATGGAGTGGACCGCTATTGTCCATTTTCACACCTGTCCTAGTACTGACGCAAATATTAGGATTTCCAAAGTCGGAGCAAATTCGGATTAGCCTTTCTCCTTCTGTGCAAAAAATAAGTTTTTTTTTTTGAAAATTTCGACCTTTTATGGGGGAAGGTACCAGAAGGAGTGGACCGATATTGTTCATCTTAACACCAGACCTTGGGTTAATATAAATATTGGGATGTGTGAAATTTGAAGACAATCGGACTCTTACATCACATTTTAAAGGAGTTGTAATTATTCACAATTTTGACCGTTTGTGGGGGAAGTACTCGATGGAGTGGACCGATATTGACCATTTTCACACCTGACGTAGCACTGATGCCAATATTAGAATTTGCAAAGTTGGAGCAAAACCGGATTACCCTTTTTCTTTCTGTGCAAAAAATATATTTTTTGAAAATTTCGACCTTTTGTGGGGGAGGTACCGGAAGGAGTGGACCGATATTTTCCATTTCCGAACTCGATCTAAGTTTGACAAAAATATTACGATCTACCAAGTTTAGATCAAATCGAATACTCCCTTCGAGAGTTATCGTGCGCACCAGCCAGACAGACAGACGGACGGACGGACATCGCTAGATCGACTCCAAATGTTCTGAAACAGATTTGGTCCAAAGAGACCTAGGGTGTAAAACCGTTATTTTGACTAGGCACGTTTTGGCCGTATCAAATGATATATACCCTCTGTAGCCATATGGCTGAGGGTATAAAAATTATACCGTTAGTAACACAACAAGTGAATGAGTTAATTAAGAATCTTAAATAATTATCGCGTATATTAATAATGCAATGTGTTTTTACCAGGGTTGGGCATATTGCACTAAATTTTAGTGCAATAAGAATTAAACAATTAGTGGTAGTGTAATTTTTTATTCTACTACAGTGCCCCACGATATTCGGTATTTGGACGATTTAAGCAACTTTTTCAAACAGAATTTGAAATGCGGTACCAGACCATTGCCCATAAAACTTTACACTCAACCTAGAGAAAGTAGTATTTCCACGGACTAAAACTCAATAGATTGACGAATTCAACCCCATTTTCCACCTCATTGCTCCGAATTTGGTGCTTAGAATTTGTAACGGGATCTCCCTCCGTTGGCAGAACGTGTGTATAAAGATCGACATTTTACTATAGCCTACAACATAACCTTCCGATATTTGGATTTGGATAAAATTAGGTGTTGCACCCATATAACTTAAACTGCATTCCCCAACCGATCCCTCACTTATATTTTGAGTTTAAAGTGGAACACGTCCGAATATTGAGTCCACATATTTTCATTTATAAATGTTTTCTTACCTAAAAGTGGCGTTTATTGAAGTCCAAACGAAATTACCGTTTTTATACCCTCCACCATTCTATGGAGGGTATATTAAATTTGTCAATCCGTTTGTAACTCCTCGAAATACTCATGACCCTACAAAGTATATATATTTTGGATCATCGTAAAATTTTAAGTTGATTTAGCGATGTCCGTCTGCCAGTCTGTTGTAATCCCGCTATCTTTCGAACGAATTGATATAGAAGGAACTTTTTCGTATAGCTTCCTTATAACGTTACCTCTCAATATTCGGGTTTTGATGATTTTAGCAACAATTTTTTTAAATTTTTAAAAAAATTTTAGCACGACAAAAAATTACATATGCAGCCTACGTTTTCGTATAGCCCCCATATTTGCTACGATATTAGGTATTTGAGGATTTTAGAGACATTATCCACCGAAATTGTTTCAAATTTCGTTTAAATTTAAAGTTCGTAATGTGCACTACCATGTACTTATGCAGATACACGGGTTCGTATAGCATCCATATAAGGTTTTTCATTTAGGCGTTATTTTTCAATGGAATTGTTTTGAAATTTTTTCTATTTCCTTCCAAATGGTTGTGTGAGTGTCTTACCACTTGAATCACACATCTCATGTGAAATTTTTAGATATTTTAAGAACACTTTTTTTTATACCCTCCACCTTGGAAAAGAGGGTATATTATTAGACCCTCCACCTAGGAATTTTGTCATTCCGTTTGTAACATCTATAAATATTCATCGTATATACATGTATTCATAATCAGCATAAAATTCTAAGTCGATTTAACGATGGTATTGAAAATGAGATATAACAGTTCACGATTTTGTATAGCCCCCATATAACGGTGCCTCCCTATATTCGGCATTTTAATTATTTTTAACGCATTTTTCGACATATTTGGCTAAAAATTGGTACTTGTAGGTCATAATAGGCTCTAGCTCGTGTGGCGAAACATTTTATGTATAGGTCCATGTTTTAGTATAGCCCCATAAAACGGTACCTCCCGATATTCGGTATTTTGATGATTTTTCTCACATTTTTTACGGATTAGTCTAAAATTAGTATTTGCAGGTCATAACAGGTTCTAGCTCGTGTGGCGAAACATTGTTTGTATAGGTCCATTTTTTGGTATAGTCCCATATAACACTACCCACCCATATAACACTACCGAATGTATTTTTATAATCCTAGTCACATTTAACTCCAAAATTGTCATACAAAATTGTGGACATAAAAAAACAACTATCTGTAATATATTTAATTTTAATTGGAGTGGATCTCAATGGTCAGAATTAAATACTCAATTTACAACTTAAATTTGATTTTGCAGTTTGTGTATATTATTTATTTCCCAACGTTTTTTTTTTTTTTTTTTTTTGTTCATTGGAGTATATAAATTTTTTATAAATTTTATTAACGGGTACTATTTATATAAACTTTGAGAAACACTCGTAGAAATATTTTGTGTTCTTGAAAGTTGCTTATTGATATCTTAGGTATACTGTCGTTGGCTTTGATGGAAAAGTCTTATTTTTTTGTGTTCTCAATATTGGATCTGCATAACAAAAACTATAACTTTCTGGGAGACGGAAAATCAAAATCTTAAAAGGTTTGCAGTTATAACTCTTGCAGAATGTTTCCTTTGGACAGGACGACCCCATATTTTAGGAGCCCTTAACAGAGTCATAAACTTTTTCAATTGTGGGTCCCTTAAATTTGAAATTTATAATGGCATCAAGAATGCAAAAAACCTTTCAATGTTATGGAGAAATTGAAATATGATTCTATAAAATGTCTTAAAGTAAAATTTCGTACATATTATTTTAAAATATCGAGTACGTAGACTCACTCAATATCAACACTTATTGTCCATTTAAATAGATTTAATAAATTATTTAAATTAATTTATTTTTTGCAGACGGTCAAACCTGCACAATGTTTCAGACATATTTGTTATGGGTGGCTGCTTGGTTCTAGAATGTCTGGTGTTACTACACTGGTGCGAAAGAAATGGATTCGGCCCACTTGGTATTACAGGCTTGTCTATGGGTGGTCATGTGAGTATATCTATGACGTATTGATATAAAAATATAAAAAAATGTCACTTCAGATAACATCGAACTTTTATATAAGAAAATAAGCCAATCGCTTGAATTACGTGTTCAAGTGATTTCATATTCATACGACATTCACCCTCCATCATAGTAAAGAGGGTATATAATGTTTGTCATTCCGTTTTTAACGCCTCGAAATATACATTTTAGACACCACAAAGTATATACATCTATGTGGATTTAGCGATGTCCCTCCGTCTGTCTGTTCCGAACGAAATGAAGTAGGTTGAAAAAATTTTACTCAAACGTATATTATGTATTCAGGACTGGTATTGAAAATGGGCTATGTAGGTCTACGTTTTGGTATAGCCTCCATATAATGGTACCTCCCTATTTTCGGTATTTTGGTGATTTAAGCGACATTATTCACCGGAATTGTTTTAAATTCGGTATTTGGAGTTCGAAAAGGATACTACAGCCTATGACAGAAAATTGTCTGTGCACGTCCACGTCTTCGGATAGCCCCCATGTAACGGTACCTCCCAATATTCGGTATTTTGATGATTTTAGCGTCATTATTCACCGGAATTGTTTCAAATTACTTATTTAGAGTGCGTAATGGGAACTACAGTCTGTGATGGAAAATTGTCTATGCAGGTCCAGGTCTTCGTATAGGCCCCATATTCGATATTTTGACGAGTTTAGGCACAATACCCACCGAAATTGTTTAAGATGCCGTATTTGAAGTTCGTAATGGATACTAACTAAAGTCTATGACAGAATATTGTCTATAACGTTACCTCTCTATATACGATATTTTGAAGATTTTACTACATTATTCACATTCGTTTATTTTAAGTTTCGAATTTGAATATGGTAATTACTTATGACAAGCAATATGTGGGTCCTTGTTTTAACTATATTTGTATTAGTTGAAATGATTATGATGCTATGGCAAGTTATTGGAGAAGTATTTCACATATTTTCTTGTTGGTTTATATTTTATTGATCTATAATTTCTATTGCTCAATAATTTATATAACGAATAAAAATTAAACATATAAGCAAAGAAACTCAAGAAATGACAACAGCAAATTTTGTTTGTACTATGCAACACAAAGAATAATTAGAGAAAACCTCAGTAGGGTGTTTTGTAAGTTTACATTGCAAAGTAGCCTACAAAGACTACGCAAATTCCCATATTCCAAAGTTTTTGAAATATTCGGATCAGGATTTCTTACAATTTTTACATTTTATGAATATATAGTGTTAAGTCCACACTATAAAGACTCGGGGAAAAAGTGACAATTCAACCATTTTAAAAAGTGTCTTCGACGATTATTTTGATCGAAAATTTTAGATCTCAAGCGATATACCAAAACGGTGTTTCTGCATCCTTTTTCAAAATATGGTTAAAACTTCTTCAAACGGAATTATAACAAATCATACCTATCATAAATTTTGTTTTACAAAAAAACTTTTTTGTTTTCGACGAACTTAGAATCTTTTTCGAATACGCTGAATCGCTTCTTAACATTTCACTGTGCAACAACCTATCTAGGATTTGGGAATATTCAAATTGATTCGTAGATCGAACTCCCAAAAGAGTGTTGACTTATCAGGCAAAACTATTTTTAAGGACCTTCTTTGGATAGCCCCTATATAAGGGTCCCGCCCAAGTTCAAGTTCCCAACCGATTTTGTATGGGGGAGTAAAAAACTCGAAGTGGATATTTTGATATTTGAGGAGCAAAACTCCAAAATGGTTTAAATTCTCTGTCCCATTTTCTAATTGGTAAATTTGGTCATTGAAAAAGCGAAATAGCACCAAAACATAGATCTACACCAAAAATTTAGTATTTTTAAAAATTATATATTCCTTGTATTTATGTAAGATGGAATTGGAAATTTTTGAATGTGCTATTTTTTTTTTTTTTATATTTATTTATTGCTTTATTTAGGTATTACTGTACAACAAGACAATCTATATCTATAAAAGAGGAAAATGTGTGTATGTTCCTTTGTTTGTTTTGCAATTTATGGACTCGAAAACAGCAGAACAGATTTTCCAGAAAATTTCCAAGTATACGACAACATCGCTTTAAAGTAACATAGGCAATATAAATTTTTGAAATTCTACTTGGAACTGGAGATATCCCAAAAATTTAGATTTTATATGCATATCTCTACTGATAGGTTACATATATACTTTCCAAATTGGAATGAATAACGGAATTTGGAAAAAAAAATTGCCAACTTATACTGAAATCGGTTGAGGTTTCCACCAAACACGATATGTATGTCCGATTCCAATGAAATTCTGAATGTGTGGCGGAAGTTGGTTCCATTAATAAATTTGACAAATTAATTAGAAATTAGTTAAGATTTAGATATAGCTCCCATATATGTTCTCGCCCGATTTCACATATTTGATGTACCTCCAATTTCAATGAAATATGGAAGGTGTAACGGAATTTGGTGTAAAAGGGAATTTTGTCAAACTATATTGAAATCGGCTCAGATGAGAATATGATTTTATTAAGAAACATTGACCCACAACACATTTGCAGTGGTATTAGGCTAACAGTAAAAAACTACACAACAATTTAATGGAGGATACGATATTTCGGGGAAGTGTTGCTACTTCGAATTCTTTAATTGCAACAGAAATGCCACTCAACTTCAAAAGATTGCAGTTTCCTGCGCGCTTGGCATTTGCTAGGAAATTAATAAACCCGAAGGACAACACCTTCGTGTAAGCGGACTAAATTAGGCATGTTCCTACTTTTCCCATGGTCAGCCGTTCCTGGCATTTCCCGCGTTGGTAGACCGAGCTATTCCTTTGTTTATGCATTAAAATATTACAATAATTACGGTTTTTAAATTTTTGAATTTGTCTTATTTTTTTAAAACCAACAAATATTCGGATATAAAATATTGAATACATATCAAATCAAAAGGGTTAGCGAAGCGCATCGGTTTCAGCTGGTATGTCTTTTAAATTATAATAAAGCTTCGCATAAATAATTAGAAATCAGACATATAAATACAGTTGAAAACATATGATGAACACATGATTACATTCTTGTATTCAGTGAAAAATTGACATAAAACATTGCTGATATAAAAATTGAACAAACAATATATAGTCAGCTGTATAAGTTGGGGAAGAGAGGAAATGGCAGTTATGTGAAATATATTTTCATCACTAAAATAAAGAAAAGTATTCAGGAAAGAACGTTTTTAAGTAGTTGGAAAGAACGTTTTTAAGCATTTTCTTAAATTTAGTTACATTACTAGTGTCCTGTAAATCATATGGTAGAGTATTCCATAGACGTATAGTACCAGCAAAATATTGCATTTCAGATACGAATCTTCTCCGCCTGAAAGGAATACGCTTCCGACCGCGATTGGATCTTGCAAATGCTATTCTTTGATGTAGATACATGTGCGTTTTGTTAACAATGATTTTGTGCAGAAACTGCAGAGCATTCATATATATTAAACACTCAAAATCTAGACAATATGTAGTATTGGCAAATTGAGATATGTGATGTGTTCTTTTTAAAATTTAGACATAACGTATTAAGCTATTGCATGCTACGTTTAGCCTGTGTCGACTTCTTGAGTCAGAGTGTGCAAACTACTTTCTCTCGACTTACGATAATTTAATATTTTGTAGGTTAAGTTTTTTATTTTTATGTATTTCGAAACATTTTGATTTGAGGGGTACGACATTATCCTATTTGTTGAGGTAGTAGACAATTTGAAAACTCTAGTCTAGTCGCCCCTGCCAACCGAGGGGCCACTTCCCCATAACACAAGGAGAGCGTACACCCTATTACCTGGATTGTGGAAGGAACACCGGTTACAATAAATACATCAACCGGTTAAACAAACTTAATAGAGTATAGGATAGAGTAACACCATTTAATGAAAGGTCTATCCAGAGGCTCTCAAAATACAAAAAGTCCAAATTCAAAATTCATTTCTAATATCAAAAATGTTAGACTTTTTGAAAATTTAAATTTTAACAGTGAGACCCACTGTGCGAAAGATATGATTCCTATGGATAAGGTAGTACCACCTTGCGCTCCGATTAAATAAATAAAATATTCAATCAATAGGTAACCAAATTTACCTTAGTAATTACACACGAACGTGTAATATTTACAGTGTTCAACACAAACACTCAATCGATAGCAAGGCCGAATCACCAATACAGAATAACGTAAGATGGTAGCTTTAGCGCCAATTCGTTAAAATCTGGCATTGTAATATTAATGTGGCAATAATAAATTCTAAGCAGATTTCAACGAATGCTTAATACAATAAATGGAGTAGTAAACTGCACCATCATTCTACTTCAAATAAACGGAGACAATTCTTACTTAAACCTTAGCCGGCTACCTTTCAGCATCCTGGGATGGTGAAACAATATAAAGCCAACTAATAAAGGGTGATTTTTTTGAGGTTAGGATTTTCATGCGTTAGTATTTGACAGATCACGTGGGATTTCAGACATGGTGTCAAAGAGAAAGATGCTCAGTATGCTTTGACATTTCATCATGAATAGACTTACTAACGAGCAACGCTTGCAAATCATTGAATTTTATTACCAAAATCAGTGTTCGGTTCGAAATGTGTTTCGCGCTTTATGTCCGATTTATGGTCTACATAATCGACCAAGTGAGCAAACAATTAATGCGATTGTGACCAAGTTTCGCACTCAGTTTACTTTATTGGACATTAAACCAACCACACGAATGCGTACAGTGCGTACAGAAGAGAATATTGCGTCTGTTTCTGAGAGTGTTGCTGAAGACCGTGAAATGTCGATTCGTCGCCGTTCGCAGCAATTGGGTTTGTGTTATTCGACCACATGGAAGATTTTACGCAAAGATCTTGGTGTAAAACCGTATAAAATACAGCTCGTGCAAGAACTGAAGCCGAACGATCTGCCACAACGTCGAATTTTCAGTGAATGGGCCCTAGAAAAGTTGG